GGGGACCTCGGGGGGCAGCGGGTCCTGGCCCCCTACCCGCATGGCAGGACTGGCCTCCTCTAGATCAGTGATCCTCAACCGGTTTTTACAAAGTAACCCCCTTTTTTCTTTTGAATTACAACTACCCCCAGGACCTACAGTTTTCAGAGACACGTTTTTCTACCATTGCAACACTGTTCTTTAAACAAGTTCATTGTAGCCGGGCAGGCGATGACATTTTTGGGTGTAAAAAGGACCAAAATAAAACGTAAAACAAAAACGCAGTTTTCTCCACTCTCCAGTTGTGCGGACGTACCCCCGGCCGTCGCTCCAGGACCCGAGGGGACTCGTTCCGCTGGCTAGACAACGCAGCCGGCCTTGCTCGGGTCCTTTGCTCAATTTGGAAAACACAATGAACACGTCCCTGCTTCCTGTCAATCACTGCTCTGGGGCGGGACTGAGTGGACGGGCTGGGGGTGCAGGCTGCTCCGGGGGAGACACCCCCCAGACTTCTCTCGCGTCCCCCTAAGGGTGCTCGTACTCCTGGGCTAGCCCATCGCTCACAGGGGTCTGTCCAACCTGCTCTTAGATATCTCCAGGGGTGGAGATTCCACAACCGCCCCCGGCAATTTACTCCAGTTTCACCACCCGGATGGGCAGGACGTTTTTCCGAATGTCCAACCGAAACCTCCCCAGCTGCAGTGTCAGGCCGTTGCTCCTTGGCCTGTCCTCGGCAGCCACGAGCAATTTTTCTCCCTCCTCGTGACACTGTTTAGGGACTTAAAAACGTCCCCTCTTGGTCTTCACAAGCCCGGTTCCTCCAGCTTCCCTCCTCGCTCGTGCTCTCTAGACCGTTCACCGCTCGTCTCTGGACCCTCCGATTTCTCCACCTCGTGCCCTGAAATGTGGGGCCCAGGACTGGCCCTGCTGGCTCCGCTCTGCCCCCGGATCCCCGTCTGCCGGACTCCTCCCTAGACAGCCGCTTCCCCTCTGTGTGTGTGACACGGATTGGTCCGGGAATCGTGCTCTCTAGACCGTTCACCGCTCGTCTCTGGACCCTCCGATTTCTCCACCTCGTGCCCTGAAATGTGGGGCCCAGGACTGGCCCTGCTGGCTCCGCTCTGCCCCCGGATCCCCGTCTGCCGGACTCCTCCCTAGACAGCCGCTTCCCCTCTGTGTGTGTGACACGGATTGGTCCGGGAACCCGATTCGGACCCTGCGCGGGCCTCGGGGGAAGGAGCCGGGCGCAGGGGACCCCTCCACCCCCGCTACCCCCCAAAACGGCACAACCAAGACTTTGGGTCAAACCCTTTATTGGATGTAACAATTAGACCCTCCTCCCGCACTGGGAATGGGGGGAACCGCCCAGCCGCCCGGGGGGCCCACCCGGGCCCC